TCCATCAACAGTAGGACCCCTAATATAGACTGTTACTGGGGGGGACAGTACCCAAGGTTTAGGGGTTTAGGGTTTGGGGTTTTAGGGTTTGAAGTTTAGGGGTCTGTTTAGGGTTTGGGGGTTTGAAGTTTAGGGTTGAAGGTTTAGGGTTATATAACGGGTTTTCTTAACGTTTGGGGTTTAGGGTCTAACGTTCAGGGTGTAGGGTTTGGAGTCTAGGGTTGTAACAGTTCTGCCTCACATAGGACTGTTTGTCTGCTTGCGGAACCCTAAGGGGAGCCCTAAGGCTCTGATACCTCTACTCTGTCTGCTTCCGGGGATTAGGGTTTAGGGTATGGTTCCCCTTAAGTAGATAGAATTTGGGGTTTACGGTTTAAGGTATAGTCCCCCTTAAGTAGATAGAATATGGGGTTTACGGTTTAGGGTATAGTCCCCCTTAAGTAGATAGAATATGGGGTTTTCAGTTTAGGGTATAGTCCCCCTTAAGTAGAAAAATTGGGGTTTACGGTTTAGCGTATAGTCCCCCTTAACTAGATGAAATATGGAATTAACTTATATCATAGTAAGATCCCCCTATACCCCCTATTCTATCTACTTAGGGGGGGGGGCCTATAATCTTTCCATTATCAATGGTTAGCAGGGAATGAAGCAATGGGCCTGAGGGATGAGCTGCAAGCGTCCTACATGTAGACTACCAGCCTTCCCACTCCCAGTTTAGGGCTTAAAGTTTAGGGTAAGGGTTTAGGGCTTAGGAAGCATGGTACATTTTGGTGTAGGGTTTGAAATGCCATATATGGGGATATTAATGGCGGCTATGTAGGGGGTATTTCTTTTCTGGCGACCTTCTTGCTGAAATTTACGCCAGCGCCTCGCAACATGCGCGTCTTCTGAGCACAACTTCACATGCCAAGTCTCTAGGCGCGTGTAGTTTGGAGGCAGTGCACAACATTGCCCGAGAGGGCTGAAGGCTCTCACATGTATCAGCCGTGGAAACTCCTCTGGGCATTATGAACTACAGTGAAGTCCCAGAAGTCTCACAAGCCAAATACCGTAATAACAATGACTATGACTATGAACACTACTAAGCCGTCGTGTCGGCAGAGCTGCTGAGGACAAACCCGCGCAACCTTTGATCGGAAAGAAGAAAGTTGGGACAT